AGCGAAACTACTTTGTTTGGTCTTCCAAAAGAGGACGATATCCGCTTCGTCATGCCTGGAGCTGATCCGTGCTGGTCGCTGAGGGAATACAACAGTATGGTGAGGGGCATAACATTTCCGTCTCACGCTTGAGGTATTCGGCCAATCACAACGCACTGGATAGCTGGCCAATCAGAGCACACCTCGCTTTTCAGAACGATGAGCTTTGTAAAAATCGACGCGTTTCAAAAAGGCGGGGCATAGAGGAGAAACAATAATGTACAGTATGTGGAAAATAATGTGTTTTTTTAACTTTAAACCGCATAAACACATTTCATTACACCAAATACACAAAATAATGTTCTTTTTAGCAGCATCATATGACCCCTTTAAAGGAATGCTGCTATTGAAGGCGTGGTTCATGAATATTAATCCTGTAATGTGACTGTATTCTCCAGGAAGGTTTGTTAAATATTAATGAGCAAAGCCTTCATCATAGTAACGGTTTTAAAATTAACAAAAGTTTTGTCGAATTACAGTTGTGTTAACCACTTGCTGATTGAAGTTGTTTCATTTCCCTGTGAAACTGAAAATGTCATAAACAAGATGCCGAATAGCGGTTTTGTGCTCTTTTCAGCTGATTGTTCAATTTTGCTTTCATAGTTAGGCCTATATATGAATAGCCTAATAAAGAAAGAAAGAAACAGAAAGAAAAATAAACAATGTACGAGAAAAGTTAATTAATCCTCCTGTATATTATTGTAATTGAAATGAAAACAAACCTTTTCTGTGCAAATTAGTGAATGTGCATTCATGTCAATGAATCAATATAAGACAAGCTTGAGTAAATATCAAATTGAAGAGCATGTACGCCCCCTTGCGTCCCGCACACAAAGATGTTTTTTTTTATCAGTAGTGGCTCTGGCTGTGTCCAAAATCCCTCCCTTTACCCTTTTGTAGTGCGCTGTTTAAGGGTACATTGATTTTGTAGTGGTATCCAAAAGCTTAGTAGATATGATGTGCACTCATTCAATCCTATAATGCACTGCAATAATAACAAGGTAATATATGTTCATTTATAGTACTACACTCTAAAAAATGCTGGGTTAAAAAGGGACAAACCCAGTTATTGGGTTGTTTTAACCCAGCGCTGGGTTATATTTAACCCAGCATATTTTTCTAAGAGTGTAATATGCATCTTTTAGGGCTAAATAAGGTACAAAAGTGTAGTACTTTTAAACAGGCTACCGGCCCAGTGATTTTTATTTTTATTATTATAATTTTTTTTGAGATAGTGAGTGAGAGAGAGAGAGAGAGAGAGAGAGAGAGTGGGTGGGGGGATACTTTTAAAGCACTATCCAGCACTCTGTGTCCAAATTTGCGTACTCATTTTCATTCCTTCCTTGTAGTGGACTATATTAGTGGACTAATTAAGGGAATAGAGAAAAAGGGTAGGTAAGATGGGATAAGATGACCAACACAAAATCTCATCTTAACATTTAATGAATGGCTATGCTCTTCTTGTGTGTGTGTGTGTGTGTGTGTGTGTGTGTGTGTGTGTGTGTGTGTGTGTGTGTGTGATTTTATCTGAATATCGACATGTGAGATTTAGTCAGACCAAACAGTTCTGAGGTTAAGTGATCTATTTTTGTGTCTCGGGAAAAGAATGATATGATGATTGTATTATGCTGAATATCAAATTTTTTCGTGTCTATTTTAGACACAAAAATGGACATTTCAGACATCTTCAGACATCATCATGTTGAATTAAAACCTTATAGGCTGAGTGAAATCATTCAGTTTGAATACTATTGCTATTATGGCCTAGGCCTACATTTTAAAATATGGGCAATTAAATATGTATATGTTCATATGTATATAATTAATAAAATAATCTTAAATACCTTTAAGATGAATCTCTTTTAGGATTCTGCTTTAATGTTCAATGTTCACTTTATTTATAGAGCACATATTAATACAACAAATGTTGACCACAGTGCTGTACATGAGACAATGCAGAATAACAATAAAAAAACACTTTCAAGTACTATATCATAACAACACGCAAACACAAATAAAACCTCAGACTCAATGGGGCAATTGGTAAAAACCAGTTTCACCACTAACACTGCACTCATGTATGCTCAAACGTCACAGTAAAAAAATATGATTTTAAATGTTGCTTAAACTCTCTTAAGAGTGGGGCACTGCCGGATATAATGAGGTAAACCATTCCACAGCCTAGGAGCAGCGGCCGCAAAGGAGCGATCTCCACTCGTTTTCCCATACGTCCGCGGGACCACTAAGAGATTCAATGACTCAGAACGTAACATTCTCTTTGGTTTCTTCACCTGGGTCAGATCAGCTATATATGATGGAGCTGTGTAAGGCTTTAAAAACAAATAATAATATCTTTAAATCAATCCTATAAGAAACCGGCAGCCAGTGTAGTACTCTTAATACAGGAGTCATATGCAAATTTTTTTGCGAGTACCTGTCAAAAGTCTTGCGGCCGCATTTTGGACCAGCTGTATGCCCAAACGTTTATATTGAACACCATAGTACAGTGAGTTACAGTAGTCTAATCTTGAAAAAATAAAAGCATGGATAACCTTTTCCAGGTCCTTCCGAGATAAAAAAAAAAAGCGCTTAATACAGGAGTGATTTGCTTATTTTTCCGAGTACCTGTCAAAAGTCTTGCGGCCGCATTTTGGACCAGCTGTATGCCCAAACGTTTATATTGAACACCATAGTACAGTGAGTTACAGTAGTCTAATCTTGAAAAAATAAAAGCATGGATAACCTTTTCCAGGTCCTTCCGAGATAAAAAAAAAAAGGCTTAATTTTAGAGATTAATCTCAATTGAAAAAAACTAATTTTGACAACTTCATTTATTTGTTTATCAAATTTCAGTGCACTATCACAAACTATACCTAAGTTTTTTAATTGATGTGTCCGAAAAGGGGATAGTACACCCAAATTTTGGATGTATCAACAGACTCAGAAGGGCTGAATAAAATCAATTCGGTTTTTGATTAATTTAAACAGCAAATTGCAGACATCCACACCTTAATCTCACCAAGACATTCCACCAACCTTTCTACAGCGATAGAGGCAGTTGGCTTCAGAGGTAGATACAACTGCCTGTCGTCTGCGTAACAGTGAAATGACACACCATATTTAAACCACTTCCTGTGTCTGTTTGCCTCTTAAGAAGAATCGCTTTATGTATCCCCCAATTGTAAGTCGCTTTGGATAAAAGCGTCTGCTAAATGACTAAATGTAAATGTAAAATGTAAATGTAATGCAATTCAAGGTATTACCTCGAATACCTACACAAGTTTCTAACTATGAGATCAAAATCTGGTGGTTGATTGTATCAAACGCCACTGTAAGATCTAAAAGCAAAAGTAGAGTCACGTCACCAGAGTCAGTTGCCATAAAAATATTGTTAAAAACTCTCAATAATGCAGATTCTGTACTGTGATGTTTTTTAAATCCCGACTGAAAGACTTCACCGATAGCATTATCAGTAAGGAAGGACTCAAGTTGATTAAAACCTTTTTTCTCCAAAATCTTTGTTAAAAAAAGGAAGGTTTGAAATTGGTCTATAATTGCACAACACACTCTTATCCAGGTTTGATTTCTTCAATAAAGGCTGCACTATGGCATGTTTACAATAAGTTGGAACAATTCCAGAAAGTAAACTCTTAATTTACTACTGGGCACCTTTACATTTTGTGCTGTTATTAGCAAATAAGCATATGTAAATAAGCAAATTACTATATTAGCAAAATGTTTATTTATTTCCCTTAATAACACTTGGCTGATGCATCATCATCATATACTTATGTCTAAATATGTTACAATTGAAAAGTAATTGCACATTGTTCTTGTCTTGCTCAAGAGAGTTCACAAGGCTCCATAGTGGGTTTGTACCTTTTAGCTACCACCTTTCAAATTTTTACAAGAAGACTATACCACTCTTATGTATATTAATAAGTGAAGTGAAGTGAAGTGAAGTGAAGTGACGTGTGGCCAAGTATACCAAGACATTCCACCAACCTTTCTACAGCGATAGAGGCAGTTGGCTTCAGAGGTAGATACAACTGCCTGTCGTCTGCGTAACAGTGAAATGACACACCATATTTACTCAAGATCTGACCTAACGGGAGCATATAAAGTGAAAAAAAGACTGGTGCTAGAATGGATCCTTGTGGAATACCACAAGATAAAGGCGCTGAGGTCGACATACCTTCACCCATCTGAACAGAGAAACTTCTGTCTTGAAAATAAGACTTAATGCCAAGCGATTAGTCAACAGAAGAGACATATTGAAGGTGGGAGAGAGCGCTGTACATTCACTCCCCCCACCTACAATCCCTGCCAGTATAAGACTCGAACCCGCAACCTTTGGGTTACGAGTCCGACTCTCTAACCATTAGGCCACGACTTAACCCTAATAACAAAGCATTACAAATATTACAAGGGCAGATGCAGGCTTTATGTTTGTTTTGCTTCCTCTTCCATCTCATTTGATGTTGCTGATTCAGGTCGAAACAAAGTGATTCATCCAGATGAAATGAATTGTAAGCTTTTATTTGTCTCCCTCTAAATGTTCTAACATCAGACACACACACAAAAAGGAGAAAACAACAGGAATAGAGTAAGACTATTTTGTTTGCTGACCTGCTGCTAGTTATCAAAGGAGACTTGTCTCTTGATTTTAATTATTTTAAGTATTTGAATAATTGATATATTTTATTGTAATGTACTGACAATTTCCTGACTAAATACAAACTGTAACTATTTTTAAAGGATGTTTGTTCTTTTTACTCGTTGTGTTTTTGTATTATTTTCCTCAGGCCTAGTAAAAGAAATGATCTGCACATGAAACACCATCCAAGAAACATCTGTAGATGTAACAAACAAAAACAGGTCACAGGTTCTACACAGGTTCTACTTCAGCATATTTATTTTAAACTGAATAAATAACACATATTTATTCAATAAATCTAATGGTTTGTTGTACTGTATGTGGATATTTGGGTTTTCTCTAGTGTGAAATCCCTATGTTTTACGTTTGGTGTGTGTTACCAGAATGTCTTTGCTGCTAGTTCTCAGCAGTGTCGTAAGTGAAACCGGGGAGTTTGGTAGCATGGGCTGGAAAGGTTTCAGTGACCTGTTCATCATTATAGCAGTGAGCTGCAGATTTAAGAGTTACAAAGTTCAAAGATTATTATGGCTGCATTTGTGGTTTGGCTGGCATGCAAAACATGAGTTTTGAAACCAGCTCTTGTCACGTCCTGTGGGGGCAATGTTAGCAGTCATGGGCTTGAGCAGCCTTGCAGTAAATATTTGAGAAGTAATTCTGGTTTAAGTTGTTTCAAATGATTGGTAAAGCTTTTGTAGTTTCCATGTTAATTAATAAATTAAATGTTTGTACAGGAAATTGGTTTAAATCAGGTCAGTTCTTTAATTAATACTGTTTAATATAAATCCTACAACATACTGTAAATAAGAAAAAAATCTTTAATTGTTTCAGCTTGTTCTCTTTATTGGATGTATATTGGAAGCATAGTTTAAAGTGCATAAACTTGTGCATTTATTTGGAAATCATTATTTTCACTTTCCATGAAAAATAAAAACATATTCCCATTGTAAGTGCATACTGATTTTTCATGCAGCAAGTTTTCGATTTAAAAAAAAAAAATACAGTATGTCTTACCTTTTGTATGCTGATGATACACAAATGTATCTCCTTTTGACATCTGGAGAGAATTGTGGTTCATATTTACTTTTGGCATGTCTGGAAGAGGTGAAAAGCTGGATGGTTCACAATTTGGTTCAGTTAAATCAAAGTAAAACAGAGATTATGATTTTTGCCCCACCAGAGGATGCTCAGACATTAACACTTATTTAGGTCCTTGGTCAGCCTATTGTCATGGCCAAAAAAGAAATCTAGGAGTTGTGTTTGACCCGGATTTGAAATTTGGCAAGCAGATGAATGCTGTGTTTAAGAGTTTTTTTGTTTTTTTTCCGGATTAGGTCTCTTACTCGAAAATCTATTTTGTCAAGGAAAGATTTAGAAAAGGTTATTAATGCCTTTATTTTGTCTTTTCTGGACTATTGTAATGTTGTTGTTTTTTTTTTTAATGTGGGGTCTTGTCAGACCGTTATTTCACACTTACAATTAGTTCACAATGCGGTAGCTTGTCTGCTTGTGCGTGCTGAGAAGAGTCAACATATCTCTTCTGTTTTGGCCTCTTGTTACATGTCTGTGGTTTTCTGTGTTGACTTTCCTTTGACCTACTTTCCCTAGTTGTCCTAATTACGTTACTCTGTTAATCTGTGTTGCATTCATTAAGTCATTAGTCCCTAAATTGCTTTTGTTTTTATACATTTATATCCATTCATTAAAGCTCTATTCACATGGGATTAGTATTACCTGTGGCCTGTAACATGAAGCGAGATGAGCAAACTCAGAGTTGCAGAGTAAGTTTTGAGTTGACAAAACCCGATAAAGCCAAACTGGTTTAGATCAGGTTCACCCTGGCTCACAATACTCGATATAAACATTCTCTGTCAACTCAGACTTTGGACCAGAGTTTGTGATTAACTCTGGAGTGTGTGCACCTGAAAGTGTGACACATGCAGCAAACAGCCAATCCCACGGAACGTGAAGAGCATCAGCTGGATTCAGTTCTCGCGAGAGTCAGCAATTCACTTTTCTGCTGAAGATTAAGAGGTCAGTATTAAAAAATGTATAAATTTAAATTCATTTAAAAGGAAGGAATAAACACTTCTGCTGCAGCAAAAGTTTGGCAGCAGAAAGAAAATATATGACTATGCAAAGGAATCAACTGAATTTAATTATTTATATAGTTTCACACAGAGTTCAAAGGAAAACATATAAGTTTAGTCATTTTAAAAGTTGGATATATTAAAGCTTATCTATCTTATCTATCTAGACCAGCACGCACCACCTCCTCTGCCCCCTGGCTGTCTGATGTTCTCCGGGAACATCGCTCTAGACTCAGGGCTGCAGAGAGGAAGTGGCGCAAATCAAGAAACTCTACTGACCTTAGTGTATATCAGTCACTCCTCTCCTTCTCTGCAAGTGTCTCCACTGCTAAAACAACATACTACCACAACAAAAGAATTAACAACTGTTCTGACTCTCGCACGCTTTTCAAAACCTTTTCTTCTCTTCTTTGTCCTCCTCCACCCCCTCCTTCATCAACTCATACTGCTGATGACTTTGCAATATTCTTCATAAATAAATCAAGAACCATTAGCGACCAATTCTCCACACCACAAACTGACAAAAACTTCGTAACCATAAATACTCATTCTCTCTCCACCTTCTCTCCACTCTCAGAGGCAGACGTTTCTAAACTTATTCTTTCCAATCATCCTACTATATGTCCGCTTGATCCTATCCCCACTCCTTCAGGCCATTTCTTCTATTAACACCTCTCTTCACTCTGGTACATTTACCACAGCATTCAAGCAGGCTCGGGTAACCCTACTGCTTAAGAAACTTTCTCTAAATCCAGCACTTTTAGAAAACTACAGACCGGTATCCCTTCTTCCGTTCATTGCAAAGACACTTGAGCGAGTTGTGTTCAACCAACTCTCTATGTGTCTTGCACAGAACAACCTCATGGCCAGCAACCAATCTGGCTTCAAAAGCCACTCAACTGAGACTGCACTGCTCTCGTTTACTGAAGCCCTGAGACTGGCAAGAGTGGCTTCTAAATCCTCAGTACTCATCTTGCTGGATCTGTTTGCTGCTTTTAACACAGTTAACCACCAGATCCTCCTGTCCACCCTCAAGAAGGTGGGCATCTCAGGAACCGCACTCCAGTAGTTCAAGTCTTACCTCTCTGGTAGGCCCTGTAAGGTGTCTTGGAGGATTTAGCTCTGCTTTTAACACAGTTAACCACCAGATCCTCCTGTCCACCCTCAAGAAGGTGGGCATCTCAGGAACCGCACTCCAGTAGTTCAAGTCTTACCTCTCTGGTAGGCCCTGTAAGGGAAACAGGTCAATTTAGCTCAAAGGGAATCATTTAAGATTTTAAAGGGAATTTGGACAGAATCGCTGTTTTACGGCTGATCATATATATATATATATATATACAGTATATAAAACACCTTGCTATGTGCACTGTGCTAGACTAACCGAGACTTGTCACAGCACTTGTTTATTGTTGCTCACTCGTTGGTCTGATTGCTTCTACTTTGTAAGTCGCTTTGGATAAAAGTGTCTGCTAAATGACTAAATGTAAATGTCAATGTAACTCATCAGTTCTGTGCATGGCTTTGAACATGGTATTATATAAAATGCTAGTAAGTGTGTTGTTATGATCTGAAGGCCTAAAGAGAATGTCAAAATTTCCTGGCTTTAAATTGTCTGATAAGGATCTTACTGTTTGTGTTAAATTGAAATATATTGGATATTTTATTACTGAGCACATGACAGAAGATGAAGACACTGAAAGGCAAATTTTATGAGGAAATGGATGTTTTTGTTTTGGTACTTGTAAGGTTGTTTAGGTTGTTACAAGTCAAATAGCTCTAAAGCAGAGGTCTTCAACCATACTCCTAGAGACCCACGGAGCGGGGTGGACGACCTATGCTCTAAAGTATATATTCCTCAAGCCTCAAGTGTGTATTGTTGGGGGTAAAAACTAGGTGATGGTCACCAGTTTTCATTTTAGGCAACCAGATATTTCCTGTGCTCTGAGAATGGAAGCGAGTTTTGCTTGGCTTATCTAGCACTGCTCTGCATTTCTACTGAGGTTAGCAGTAATGTCAACCACAGCAACCAGGGTCCAACGTCACATGCGAGCAGAGTTTCCTGCATAGGTAGTGGAGTTTCTGAACAGACATGTATCTAGTCACTTGCTCAAGCACAATCAAACCAGCCATACAGGTAAGAGTGCTATTCTTTTCTTGGGCTCTTAGCATTTATTCAAAAGCAATTCAAGAAGTTGTAGGAATAGATCAAGTGAGAACCTGTCATCATATAGACCATTTGTTGACCTTTTCCTCCCATGCCCCATTAGGACAACCAAAAATCACTGTATGTCAAGATTTTGAGGAGCAGCAGTCAGCAAGTGTACACCAATTTTTTTGGCTGTCACAATGTTTCAGGAAGGCAATTTAACCACCAATAAGTCCTGTCAGATTCATGATGGCATATTGTGGCCCTTCTTGCCCATTAGCTACATTCTCATGTGTTGCATTGGTCTGCTCTGTAACACCGTCACCCTCTACATATTTTTCCTTCGGCGGCATACAGACAATTCCATGGCTGTGTACATGCGGCACCTTGCCCTAGCGGACACCCTCCTGGTCATGTGTTTGCCCCTGCGAGTTTACTACCACAACAAAGAAGGTCCCTTCTACTTGTGCAAGGTGGTGGGCATCTTTTTCTACATCAACATGTATTCCAGCATCCTGTTCCTCAGCCTCATCAGTCTAGATCGTTATTTGAAAATCATCAAGCCTGTTTGGGTCTTTCGAATCCAAAAGACAAAGTGGAGCCACACGGCAAGCTACATCGTCTGGGTGATCCTCATTTCTGGAATGATTCCCTTTTTTTCAAGCAACAGTCAAAAACATGCGTGTGACAAGGTCTGCTTCCACTTCCACAGCAAGGGACTTGTCGGTGGGATCATAAACCTGACAACAGTGGTGCTCTTCCTTGTTTTTTATGTAGCCTTTCTTTGTTTTTATGTGAAGATCACTAAGAAACTCAGGACTATGTCCATGGGTAATGGTGACCCTAAGGCACAGAGTCGCAAAAAGAGGGTCATCATAAAGACTTTCTTAGTACCAGCCATTTTTACATTGTGTTTCTTGCCCTACCATGCAGTACGAATACCATACGTTCTGGCTCAGCTGAATGTGATCGGAGATCTTCATAGCCAACAATTGTTGCACTTCTTAAATGAGAGTACTTTGCTATTGTCCGCTCTAAATAGCTGCCTAGACCCAATTATCTATTACTTCTTATCCAGTGC